GGAGGCAGGGGCTGCAGCTGCAGCTCCTGCTCGTGCTAATGCCAATAATGCCGCAGGGAGGCAGGGGCTGCAGTTGCAGCTCCTGCTCGAGCTGGCGTGGGAACAGGCCAGAAATAGCCTGTTCCGAAACCCAGTTTTCGTGCCTGAATCTTAGGGCAGGCCGAAACAAATGAGGGCCTAAAAATAGCCCAGGGCCTAAGAATAGCCCTCCGTTTCAGGCTGGAAAAACTCTGGATCTGAAAGACCCAGAAATAGGCTGAAACGGAGTAGGGCCTGCAGGCCCTCGTTTTTCAGTTTTCAGGCTGAAACGACCGGGGCCTGTAGCTCCTAAGTTTTAGGCTTTAAGGTTGAATGTCCGGGACGGGTCCTACAGGGCCCGTGTGGCTACGCAGTCTACCACACTCGCCCTGCACCTTATCCAGCCCCATCCTACCTTCTTCATACTCCCGCGGTTGCTGCGACCTCTTCTACCGCAGCTCCCTCGCAGCCTGCCGCTGTCGCCCCCGTCGCTCCCCCATGCGGCCCGAGCGCACAGTCAGTTGCGCCCCTTTCTCCAGGACCTGCGCTGACTTACTCATTCGTGGCACAGGTCTCCGCTCCTCGATCCCCTCGCCGCTAAAACGGTGGCGCACCGCTCGTCCCCTTGTCGGACATTGCCTTTTATGACGGTACAGGCGTACACGTGTTTCGGTGGCTTCAGTCTGCCACCCGCACCCTCCAACTCATGGGCGCCCCACCTGACACGTGGGTGGGTCGCCTCTCCACGCGCCTGCGTGCCGGTCCTTTTGACACCTGGGAGGATTTCTACGCTTACTCCCTCCATGCGGGTCGGACTCCGACCTTCATGGATTTTTAGGCGTTCCTCGAGGATCGCTTCGGAGCTCGGCATGACGTGACTGACGCCTTCTAGCGTGTCGTCACTACACGCTGGTCCGGCTCTAATGGCGTTGCCGGCTTGGATCGCCACATCCAGGTCTTTCAAGACGCCCGCCTCATTTGTGACATGGCGTTTCTCCCTGAGGCTGCCCTTATCGATCGTTTCTTGGCCAGCCTTCCGCTCGAGTACCGCTCCGAGTTATGGTGGTACGAGTTCACATCGGCCCCGCAGGCTTACGAGGCCGCCAGGGACCATCAGCGGATGCGGGCCCGTCTTCACCCCGCCTCCTCCTCCCAGCCTCAGCGCACGGGCTACGCCTCCTCCTCCTCTCACGACACTTCCCAGCGTCGTTCCCCTTTCGGCAGTCGCCCCCGCCGTTCCGCGCAGCAACGCCGCCACTTCTCGCGCCGCTTAAGCGCGCTCAAGTATTGTGAGCAGGACGCTGGTACCCTCCTGTCGCCAGAGGGTGACCATAGCGACGACCTCGACCTCGGCGAGGCCGTCCACCACCACCTGGAGGACTCTACTCTTTCTACGGCCGAGCGCCTCCAGCTCATCCTCTCCGCCCTCTCCAGGGCAGGCAGCCGCCCCGGTCACGCTGGCGCGTCGCCCCCCGAGGTCCCTCAGCAGGACCTCCCTCAGGCCTTTGTCCCTCCTCGCGATGTCCTTTCCGCTCAGGAGCGTGCGTCTATTTTAAGCCGGCGTGGGTGCTTGCGCGGCCGCCAGGACGGTCATACCTCCTCGCGGTGCCCTTAAACCACCGCCTTCGACCGCCACTACGCTGACCTTTCCCGCCAGCGTCGTGCTCAGTCCCCCCCCGGCGCCTCGCATCCCCGCGGCGCCTCCTAGCCACGGTGCAGTGTACACCTGCGCCCTCCTCAGTAGCCAACTTCCCGACATCCCCGTCGCGGTTTGCCCCTCTCGCTACTGGAGTTGAGGTCTCGCAGGACCCGACATAGTGTACTCAGCCCTCTGTTGCAGTACCGTGTGCGCCTCCGCAGACCACCGTCTCCCCTTCTACCCCTCCGCGACTACCGACGCGTCAAGCCATTCACTCAACCCGTTGCAGCGAGCAGCTCGCTACTCACGAGGACGTTGTGTCCTTTCTTCTGGACTTGAGCATGCTCCAGCCTCGTCAGGAGCGACTCACCCTCCATGTCGCTGCACCGCGTCGCCTTCTCACCATCCTCTCTGACCCTGATCGCACCCTCCCGATCATTCCAGTACGATTGAGGACCTCCACGAGGGTGTACTCAGCACTGTGGGATTTCGGTTCTCAAGGCGACTCCATTCATCCACGTGTGGTGAAAGAAGCACGCTTACCCACGACAGGGTCTCCGACTCCCATCTCTGTCACCCTAGGGGATGACAAGACCCAGTGCTTCTTCGATTAGACGGTCACCGACCTCCCTTTCTTCCTCACTCTCGAGCCGACTGATCGTCTTCTGGCGTCTCGTCGCCACCGCTTCTCCTCACATTTCGATGTGATGGAGACGGGGTACAACTTCATTCTCGGCACTCCGTGGTCTCGTCGGTTCCGCAGCAGCGAGGCTGATTGGGCGACCAACACTCTCGTTCTCAAAATGAAGTGTGGACAGACGTATCGCGTACCTTTCATAGGTACCACTGTGACACCACGCCCCGATCCTCCTCCCCCGGAGCCTTCCGTGCCCACACCATCTCCTTCTATCACTGTCACCTCGCCTCGCCATTTCGCCCACTTCATCCGACAGGACGACGTCACCTTCTTTATGGTGAACGTGACGGATCTCTTACACTATGATCCACCCTGTCTCGACGCCGAGCTCATCCCTCTGGAGCTAGATCCTCCTTCTATCTCTATGGCTCCCATCTCTACTTTCCACCCTCCGCCGTCCGTCGAGTCCACCCCACCGTCGCTCGCTGACGCTGACGCTAAGGAACTCGCACGATATACAGCCGACTTGGAGCCCGCAGTTCGTGACCTCATTCGAGAGTACCACAACGTTTTCCCATCGTCGTCTCATACGCCGGCATCCCACCGATGCGCGACGTTGAGCACTCCATCCAGCTCGTGCCTGACTATCGTGCTAAGTGCTCACCACCAGGCACCCTACAGACTCTTGATCCCCGAGACCACCGAACTCAAACATCACCTTGAGGAGCTCCTGAGACTGGGTTTCATTAAACTCGGCAACTCCCCGTGGGGT